TGTCAGGGACTTTTCCAAAGTGCTGAAGTGCAATGATGTCAGTCTGGAGAATAAGGTGTGTCTGATACAGGCCATGGTCTTTGTAATTACTTACTATGGATCAGAGAGCCAACAATGACTAAGGATGATAGAATTGATGCTTTTGAGTTGTGGTGCTGGAGAATAGCATTGAACATACAATGGACTGCCAATAGAATAAAGAAGTCTATCCTGGAGAGGGTGAGACCAATTTGTTCCATGGAGGCAAGTATCTTGAAGCTTTATCTCACATTCTTTGAGCATGTTGCCAGGAGGGACTAGCCCTGTAGAGGACATCATGGTTGGTTGTAAGGGTGGAGGGACAGGGCAGGAAGACCCTGGGTGAAATGGATTTACACAGTAATTAGGGTAATAAGAGTAGATGTGTCGAAGACAATGATCTTGGCTCAGAATAGGATAGGGTTCAGAGCTATTGTGCATAGGGTCTCTATGACTTGCAAGTAACTTGACAACACATAACACCACTGAGACTGGCGCAGCCAACAGTGAGACTGGCACAGAAGTAAACATAATTTTCTTATGTTGTGCCTGGGATCTACATGAGTCAGAGAATAACTTGACAGAAGTGGACAACAGCAGCACTCTTGAGGGAGGGATGGCTATGGCCCACTTGGAAAAAAGCTGTAGCACGTGGAGGAAGTACCTGTGTGGGTTAGCATTCTGTGGACAATGTCTCTGTAGAAAGCAATACTTTTTTTGTGCAGTTTTTCTTGAAAAAGTATTGACTAGCATAAAGCATTCCTGGGCTGGTGCTCGGTGATGCAACTGAAAAGAATCATCTAGGGGAAGGGGCTAGTGCTTTTCCGAGAAGAAAAAATACTGGCAACACAAGCCTGACATGAGTGATAAATGATACAAGTCTCAATCTAATGAAACTGCAAGGACTCCAGAGCCAAGAAATAGTCAATTTCACTATTTTTTCTTCATCTTGAACTTAACCAGATAGAGACTTTTTTTTTAAAGCTACCAATCTATTACATTTGTTTTGTAATGAAAGGTTTATATTTATGTATCAGAATGAGACAGTATCACTTATTTTTGTAATTTAGATTGAATATCTTTTTTTCCTCCTTCTGCCTCTTTATTTCCTTTGTTCTTTCTTCTGCTACAAACCAAAATACAAAACACATTGTCTCTGAGATGATCTCAACTCAGAGAAACCTACAGGACAGAGCACAATTGTCCAACTTAGTCTCCAAACTGGTAAATCATTACATAAGCTGACTGACACATCATTCTCCCCGGGAATAGTTGGTGGGTTCAAACTACCAACCTTTTGCTTAGCAGTCAAAAACCTTAACCACCGTAATACCTGAGTTCCTTCTTCTGCTATTGATGGTTTACTTATGTTTGTGTAGAGGGTCAGTGCAAGAGAAGAAGAACTTCGATGAGGTGGATGGACACAGTGACTGCAGCAACGGGCTTGGGTGTGTGAGATGGCACAGGATAAGACGGCTTCAGATCTATTGCTTATAGAGCTGCTATGAGTCATACCCAACTCAATGGCAACTAACAACAACAACAACAGGGACAATATAAGGGAGCTCTGGTGGCTAAGTGGTAAGGAATTGTGCTGCCAACTCAAAAGCATGAGTTGAATTCACTAGCTGCTATGCAGCAGAAAGGTGGGCAACCTCCTTCTGTGCAATTCCTGCCTCTGAAAACCTGCTGGAGGGTCAGCTATGGGTCAGTTCCAACTCAACAGTATACACCCACAGACAACAACAGGGACCATTTAGAAGCCCTGGTGGCACCACAGTTAAGTCCTTGGCTGCTATCCCAAAGGCTGCCTGTTTAAATCAATCCATCAACTCTGTAGGTGAAAGGCATGATGATCTGCTTCTACTAAGATCACTAAAACTTACTGCACTGAGTAGATTTCAACTGACAGTAACCCTATAGGAGAGAGGAGTATTGCCTCAGAGGGTTTTCAAGGCTATTATCTTTATAGAAACTGACTCACAATTTTCTCCCTTGGAGCAGCTAATAGGTTTTAGCTATGATCTTTTAGTAGCAGTCATGTGTTTTCAACACTGTGACATCTAGGTTCTTTCTCATGAAGATTAGAGCTTAGAAACCTCATTGGGGGCAGTTCTAATTAGTCACACTGACATTGCTATGAGTTGAAATTTACTTGATAATACGTAATGACAAGGCAATTTTTATAGTGGTCAAGCTTATCAGTTGTAGTATATTAGTGACAGGATTACTTTAAGTCAGAATCCACTCGATAATAGTGGCTTTGGTCTGTTTTGGGTACATATGAAACAGAAAATAAAACAGATGAAACCTCTTATGCAGTTGCTGTTTAGTGCCATCAAGACGACTGCAAGCCATAGTGAGTCTATGAACAACACATCTGAACCCTGTCCTGGCCTCTGCCATTCTCACAATCTCTGCCCTATTGGAACCAATTGTTATACCCATTGAGACAATTCATCTCTTTGAGGATGATCCTTTCTTTTATTGACCCATTACATTTCCTGTTGTGATGTTTTTTTCCAAGGACTGACCCTTGTCTGGTAGCGTGCCCAAAGTCTGAGATGAAGTTACAGTGATCTATAAAACTTCTTGTAAAACCAGAGATTCAAATTCACAAGAGAAACTCCAGAACAAGTTAGTGGTAAAGAAAATTGTGTAGAAAAGGCTCTTGATGGTGTTTCCCCAACTTCTGATTGTGTTTGCTAACCTATTACTCTCTGAGTTTCAGTTTTCTATATGGAAAATAGAGACATTATACCTATCTCACAAAGGTTCTGAATGGATTAAATAAGAGTATACATGAAAAATGTTCAGAATTAAAAGACTGCAGAAAAAGGCTTCAGAATAAATATTAGTGTGACTGTCAGGAATATAATGTATAATGTCAAGGATTAACAGGTTTATATATGGAAATCTTTAACACAGGGGTTTGATGATGATGATGATGATGATGATTCCATTTCTTCTGCAGTTGGTGTTATTTGTTTTTTTAAAAAACAGTTTATTTCTGTCTCTGCTTGGCTTTTGAAGTGAGATTATATTGGGCACTGTGTTGCTGTTGTTATATTTTTTAAAAAATATTTTATATAGGTTTACAAACAAAATTCACATACATTGTTTCTAAAACCAGACCTTCCCCCTTTCCTTTACCAATATCTCCCTTTACTCACCAAATTGTGTGACCCTATATTTAAGCCCCCCACCACCTTGTTTCCTTGCTTATGCTCTACAATAATGGTTCTATACAGTATTTGTCTTTATGAGACTTACATAGTTCACTCAGCATAATGCTTTCCAGTCCCTCCCATGTTAGGTAATACTTTACAAAATTATTGCTCCTGTGTGCTGCATATTATTCTATTGTGTGAATGTACCACAATTTCTCAGTCCATTCGTTTGTGGTGGGGCATTTGGGGTGTTTCCATGGTCTTGCTATGATGAATAACACTACTGTGAACATTGGTGTACAAATATCTTTGCCTCAGTTCTCATTTTCCAAGGGTATATTCCTTAGAAGGGCATCAAGCAATAAATGTTGGAAAGGATGTGGTGAGATAGGAACTCTTATAGATTTCTGGTGGTGGGGTTGTAAAATGGTACAACCACTCTGGAAGGCAGTTTGGCGTTTCCTCAAAAAGCTGGACATAGAAATTTGATATGACAGCATTGCTTTTGATTCAGGTTTTGCCCCATTATGGTAACATATGTACTAAGACTACATGTTCTGTAACCCAAGGATTAATCATGCCTCATTCCTGTATCCAATGCAATTGCCTATGTCCAATGAGATTATGCACGTGGAATTGGCCAAAGTGGAGGCCAAATGCACTTTGATTGGTTGATGCTGTAAACCCAGCTAAATAAAGGCTAACAATTTCTGTGACTCCTGTCAAAAACCATAGCCAACTGTTATGAAGAGTTTTGGTAATGGCAGAAAAGAAGTCACATTTTTAACATAAATTCAGGATCAGGAAATAGTAGTAACCAATGCTTTTCCATAAAGATACATCATAATGTTTGGGCAAAAATGGCTAGTATCCTTAGTAACGGAGCAAGCTTTGGGCCAAACTCTGGGGAAAACATTTCCAAACTTATTCAGATGTCGAAGTTGCTTACTAGGTTTCTGAAAACTAGTTGGTGGAGGTTTGCAGGATATTTATCCTTGTTTAAAATACCTCTGGATAGTGTCATAGACAAATTGTGATAAGAGAACTGCCTAAGTGGTGAGCACACACACAAAGACATATTGCTTTTATGTGTTGTCGAATTGCTTGCAACTCATAGTGACCCTATGTACAATAGCTCTGAATGCTGCTCTATCCAAAAAGACAGAGTAGTAAAATAATACAACCTGGTGGTGGAGCTTTTAGAAAGATAATCTAGGCACTGTGGCAAGTATAAGTGTGGAGCTAGAGGGGATGGCCCACAAAGGCTACTATGTATAAAAAGTTATTCTGAATTATGTTCCAAGGACTACAAGCATCCTTAAAGGATTTGTACTGAGGCATAACATAGCCATTTTGACAAAGCAGCATATCCCTCTAGCTAGGTTTTGAAAGATGGATTTCTGTGGTAACAAACTAGGTCTGGACCACCATTTATTCCTATAGTAAACACACACTGTGAATCAAGTCCTAGAATGTCAATCAAGGCCTATACTAAGAGAAGATAGCTGGGTGGTACAAATGGTTAAGAGATCAACTCCTCATCCACCCAGAGATGTCTAGGAAGACAGGCCTGGTAATGCTTCAAAAAAAGTTACAGCCTTGAAAATGGTATGGAACAGTTTTCTTCCGCCCATATAGGTCACCATGAATTGGAATCAATATTGCGGCATCTAGCAGCAACCAGAGAAAAGTTTATTATTCTGAGTCAGGGGTCAGCACATTCTCCAGACATAAAGTACAGGATTAATGTGACCAAATGAACTAGTCAAGGGTGCAATCATGGGCAGAATATTGTAGGAATTGTCAACTTACCAATTTTCCTGTAACACTCTGACCACCTTCATTCAGCCATAGTCCAGGGACCATGGCTGAGAAATAAGGGCCCCAGACACCAGGTACAAAAAGCGGGTCTTTGCTGACCTGGAAAGGGAGAAAAAGATGTGAAAACAGTGACTCTCAGAGGTTATCACCATTGTGCACCATCGAGTCAGAACCAACCCATAGCTGATCATCCAGTGATTGTCAGAGGAGGATAGTGTTGGTCTTTCTTTCGCCGAGCAGCTCGTGGATGCAAACCATGGTTTTTGGCATTGGCAGCACAAAGGCAACAGGAATCAGCTTCATTCCTTTATCTGACAAGAGTATAGTCAGTCCGTACCTGACACTTTGCCTGGTCTTGGAGTTACAGAAATGAACTAAGGAGCCTTAATTAGTCCTTCATGGAGTTTACTGTCTAGCGTTTCAGAACAGGAGACCTTTATTATCTTACTATCTTTTCATAAACTAGTGGTTTCTCAGATTAGGATTTCTTATTTCTAAAGGGAAGACGGTGTAGGGAAGGCAAGGATACCACACAGTACTGCAAGCTTTAAATTTTATCACATTAATAGAAAATAAAAAATATGCTATCACTTTCATATCATTACAAAGGGATATTTAGCACCTACACCACCTGCTACCTGAGTAGATTCCTACCCTTGGTGATCCTTCCTCTAGTTTCTCAGGCTGTAAATCTTCATGGGAGATGAATGCCCATCTTGCTTCCTGGGAGCACTGCTGAATTTTTCAATGAGAAGCCAGACATGTTATAATAGTTTCCCTGACTGATGTAATGGTTGAGTGTTCGATTACTAGCTACGGTGTTAGCTGGTTCAAGATAGGGCAGATTTCAGAGCTAACGTACATAGGTTCGCTATGAACCCCGGGTGACTTTATGACATGTTTAACAACAACAGATCAAAACCCTTCTCCTTGACATTGAGTCCAACTCATGTTTACTTCACGTGTACAGGGTAAAACGATGTTCCACACGGTGTTTCAGGTCCAAGCCATTCTTCTGAGGATGAGTTTCAACTGTCAGTGTTCTGGTTTGTAGTCAAACACTAAATTTTAAGCCTCATCTAGGTACTCTCCACTTAATGGATCTGAGCTATGTAGGCCCTTGGGTGGTATAAATGATTTATATTTGCTTACTATTGGAGAAGAGCGCCGAAGATCCCATGGACAGCCAAAAGGACACACGGATATGTCTTGGGGAGGGTGCAGCCAGAGGGCTCCTTGGAGGCAGGGATGTTGGAGCTTCGTCTTACATACTTAGGGCATGTTTCTAGGAGAAGTTACTCCTTGAAAAGGGCTATCATGCTTGGAAGGTGGAGGGGTGGCAAAAGTGAGGAAGACTCTGTCAGGTGAGTTGACATGGTGATTGCAGCAATGGGCTTGAGTGTGTCAGAGATTGTGAGGATGGTGTGGGACAGGATAGTGTTCAGATCGGCTTTTCATAGGGTCACTATTAGTTAAACTTGACTTGATGGCACCTAATAACAACAACAACAACAACAACAACACTATCTAAAAGATTAATGGCTTGAAATCCACTTAACATCACTGCAGAAGAAAGGTCTTACAATCTCTTTCAGTAATATTACAATCAATCAAAACCACTATGGAGCACAGTTTACCGTAACACACATGGGGGTTTCCACATGTCAGTCTCTTTGATGGCAATAATTTTGGTGTGGATCTATACTATCTTACATTAGCTGAATAAATATCCAGTGACTGTTTAGTAATATAATATTTAGTAACATAATGTTGTTGTTGTTGTGTACTGTCTAGTCAGAACTGACCCACAGTTGACGTTTGGTGGGTTTTCAGAGACAGTTAATTGCACGGGAGGAGACTGCTCACCCTTCTCACATAATGAATGCAAAGTATTATTTTTTATTTTTTTAAAATTAATTTAGTTTGTTTATTTTTCATTTCAATGAACATCTACAGAGATTTTGGAATTCCATTCATTCATTGTTGCACCCTTCTCCCCGCACAAAACCCTCCCCCCCCCGTTTGCTCCTCTCCTTGCAAAGTATTATTTTAACAACAAAAAAAGGTAGACATCAGAGCAATGTAAGTGATCATCCTTATCTTTTTGATATTCACTTTAGTGAAAGGTGGATGGGGGGATCACCTAGATGTCAACAGACTTGTGAATGTATGTTTGCACTCCTCAACTTAGAGAAGAGAGCTGGCAGTCTAGAGTCACAAATGCTCAGCCTACATTACAGGTGAAAACAAAGGCACAATTTCAGAAATTACAGAGCTGGAACAAAGCCACTGTTCATGCTTTCCCTAAGCTTGCTCTACTAATGGATGCCACGGGCTGAGTGGCATCTAACTCGAGTCTCCTGTCAGCTGAGTTTTCCTGTGGTGATAAGGCCCAGGCACCTGCTCACACCTCTTTCTGGGAGAGATGACTGGTCTGGAAGCAGTAAGCTGGTCCATTTCCTGGGCTCTATCTCCCTGCTCACATTCCAAGAGTGGCCTAAGCCTCTGGCAGGTGCAGGGGGCAGGCTCCAGGCGCCACCAGTCTTGGGAGGGAACAGGAGGTTTCACTTGAGTGCCTCCTGTCAGGTTGGGCATTTTAAGAGGGAAGCCACAGGCATGTGTGGGGACCAGTTATTTTCATGGTGGCTCATTCCTCTTTGCAAATGGACTGTACTATCATCTTACTGGAGAAAAACCATTTATACACATTCACGCCAACCTCCAGCTCACCACACAGTAAGAAAAACAGCACAAGGAATTCTGTTTATGAATGTGGACTCACTTCTATTTTAGCACTCTTCTGGCTGAATTGACATGAGTTGTTTATACAGAACAATGAGGAATCTCATCTTTTAGTAAAGGCACTGAACACAGTATATATAAATGGATATGAATATGGATATAGACTTTGAAGTCCAATAAACCTGAACCACAATTCTGGAATGTCACGTATTAGTCACGTGCTGTTGGGCAGATGAAATTAGTTTCTTCAACTGTAAATAAATCTGATCTACCATAGTTGTCTGAGTTGTAAATGGTGTAAAGTACATAATGATTCTGTGGTATTGTTATGTGCTATCAAGTTGTTGATTCTAACTCAGTGATTTTGGGTTACAGAGTAGAACTGCCCCATAGAGTTTCACGGGCTGTAACCCTAATTGGAGCAGATCGTTGTCATTGGTGGTATGTGCCTTTGAATCGAGTATGACTCATAATACTCCTCTATGAACAATAGATCTGAACCCTGTCCTATCCTGTGCCATCCTCACTGCCTCTGAAATATTAGTGCCATGGCTGCAGTCACTGTATCAATTCATCTCACTTGGGATCATCTTCTTCTCCACTGACCCTCCATCTTTCCAAACATGATGTCCCTCTCCTAGCAAAATTCCGGGAGTATGGCATACAATGCTTCACCATCCTTTCTCAAAGGAGCACTCTGGCTGTACTTTTCCCAAAACATATCTGTTTGTTCTTTTAGCAATCAATGGAATTTCAGCACTCTTCTCCAGCACCACAACTCAAAGGCATCAGTTCTTCTTCTGTCATCTTTATTCATTGCCCAGCTTTCAGATGTATAGTAAATGATTGAAAAGACCATGGCCTGAGTCAGGTGCACCTTAGTCCTCAAACTGATATTTTTGCTCCTATGTATTTTGGAGCTGTCACTAACAGTAGACTTGCCCAAACTAAATGTCTCCAGATTTCCTGATTGCTAGTAATAAGAGTGCTTATTGCTGATCCAGACGGGATGAAATGATAAGACCAACGACAGTTTCAATCTATTTTCCATCTGTTACAGTGTTTTCTGTAGGCCTTTTGGTGAGGACCTGTGTTTTCATGATGTTGAGTTGTAATCCATATCGAGGGCTGTAGTCTTTGATCTTCAGCAGTAAGTGTTTCAAGTCCTCCTAACTTTCAACAAGTAGTTTTTTGTTTATATAATTTTATTTTATATTGGCTTGTATACATTTTATTTAATTCATGAACATTGTGTTTCACACATTCCTTTATTCTCACTATTTTTCAAACTGTCATTCATATGCATTGTGTTTTATCAAATTTATTGCTATTGATCTATGCCCACTGTTATTACCCTCTTTTCAGTGCCCTATTGGATCTTTCCTATTCTTTTTTTTCCACCCCCCCATCTGCCCACTGAATTCTGCTATCCTAGTGATTCCATTCACCCTATTATCTGTCCCTTTGTTTCTCCTTCTCCTTTTTGACTTTTATACACACCTTACTATTTATCCTTCTATTTTACAATAATGGACTTATGCAGTATTTGTCTTTATGAGACTGAGTTAGTTCACTCAGCATAATACTCTCTAGACTCTCTCATGTCATATAGTTGTCTAAAGAGCAAAAAATGGGACATAGGGGCACAGGGCCATGAGCATCTCTCTGAAAAGACCAGAGGAAGTGAGAATAGTCCCTCACTGCCCCAGAGCAGAAACCAGATACAGAACTCATAGCCCAGTCATAGGGTGTCTCTAGAGCCCCATCAGCAGAAAGAGGTTCATTTATTCATTGTTGACTCACAGACTTGCAGTTGTGGTACTGAGAATGGGGATTATTAGGGAAGTAAGTTGGAGAGTGGGGGAGACAAAGAATATCATCCAGAACAAGTCCAGATTTTAGCGCAAGTTCCAAGCACAATTCCACAATTAGTCCATGCTTTGGTTTCAGTTCAGCAGTCAAACCTAAATCACCTATAAGGTTTGCCTCAGAGCAGTTATAAATCAGCTTCTCCTTAATTATCTGGCAAGAACATCAAAACCTCTAACAATGGCTTTTATCTCAGGGCTCCTCTGGTTACACCTTGCCACAGTTTCTCCACCACCACCATCAAGGTCTTGCCACCAGGGTCTTGCTCTCAATAGGGTCTTGCTCCAGTATCCCTCAAGTCTTGCTTGCTACAAATCTAGCTCCTCAGTGCAGGAAGCTCTCTTTCACTTATTATAGTCCCACAGCTGTTGATGATTTGCAAGATGATTTTGCATGTGCCTGTAGTTAAAGTAGTTGGAGACCAGACTGGGATAAGGTAATGGCTTAAAAAAATATCCAACTTTAGGCTAACACCGGAATAGTATTTT